GAGTCTTTAGAGGTTAGAATCTCTTTTTTATAAGAAAAGAATTTGAAGATGAATTTCGATCTATTTATATTAAAGAGGTTGGAATCCATTAAAATCCGGCCATGACTAATGAAAATCTTCGAAAATCCAAAAAATATTCAATCCACTAAGGTTTGTAAAGGATATTTCTAAATCATAATTGTATTCTCCAAGATTTTAAAAGTTTGTTTTATAATTTCCCAATTGATCGATTATCCAATTGCTCGTATCATAAATAAAAAAAAATCAATGTGTTTGATGAATGCGTTTACAAACAAGGAAAATATTGTGAATCATATTCGGAGATTTGTTTTCCTAAAAAGTATAGAAATATAAACTTCGTTTCTTTTAAACAGCTCAATTAAAAAGGGAATTATATATTTTTGTTACCAAATGTGAACCATGAATAAAATCAAGGAATCGATCTCTAAAACAAAAGAGGAAAGAACTGTGTTTATTTAAAGAGATGCATACCAGCATACACAAATGTATATATAATATGTGTTTTCATTGAATAATATATATAATCGTTCGTCCATATAATATATATATATATATATAGAGAAGAAAAGAATAATATAAATCAAGCTAATTGATTAAGGGCTACTGGACGAAACAAAACAAACATGGGGGACGACATCGTAGTCCATCTGGTGGTATTCGTGGTTCTGATATTGTTCATCGCCATGCTCAAGTCGTTTATTTTCCAAGTGACCGATTTCCGGCTGGTGGTGGCCTTCGTCTCCATCCTCGCTCTCATCCCCGTCTTCATGTTCACTGGCATGAAGAAGCCGCAGCAGTGATTTGGAATTAGCGTTTTCGATTAGCGTTAGCTATCAATCTGTATTCATCTAGCAGTATACGATAAGATGAAGATTAATTAGTAAGTAGATTCAATTCAGATCCATTATCTGTTTCCCTAGTTAGTTTATTGATAGCTACTTCTTGGATTTTACCTAGTGGGATGTTTTAATTTAAAATATTGTACTCCATCTATCCCATTGTTTTTGTAGTGTATTCTTTTAACGTTTTTTTTCTTCCTTCATACTTCCCTTAAATTGTTTCTCTTTTGTTTTTTCTCTTTTGTTTTTTCTTGTCCCAAACTCCTTGTCTTATCTATTATTGTAAAAAACTACTTTACCCTGACTAATTCTTATCTTACATATTACATCATATCTTTTTTACTAATAATTTATCTATCATATCGTAATTATACTCATCACATCAAGGATATTTTTAGAAAATCGACACAAAAATATTCCTACCTTAAATTTTCAAAAAGTTAATAAGGAAAGAACTTTAAAGGACGGAGGGAGTATCATATTTCGTTTAATTCGTGTGATAATTCAGAACAAGTTATCTTACCTTTTTAACATCAATATGATTTACAATCAATATTAATTACTCCAGTGTAAAGCGGGAAAAATAAAATAAAATAAAATAATCTTAACTTATAAAACGTTCGGATTTTACAACGGAAAAATAAAAGAAGAGAAAAGTGGAGTCTTCGGATGCTCGGACAGAATGAAGGAACACGAACGGACAACGAAGTGGTGCGTCGCCGGAGCAGTTTCTCAAAGTGAAGGCAAGGAAAGCGGAGTCGCCGGAGCTTTCCTTAAGGTAGTATTGCCCGCCTCCCGCACTGGCAAACGTGGGCAATCTCCTCCCAAGATAAAACCGCTTCGTGCAAGGCCTAGAGCGGTAGAACCGTGCACCGACGAACGAGAAGGATGGGTGTTACTGCCGGAGAAGATGATCGGAGTTGGGGAGTTATCGGAACTTTTGGAATGCAGAGACAGAGAGAGAGATTTCAAGTGAGTTCATTCTCCCTGCAACCAACCCCTCCCTTTATAGGAGGGGAGTTGGCTCTTCGCTTGGACTGGACGGAAATTACGAAGGGACGCAGCACCCTCTTCGCCTCCTTTGTGCATGCATGCTTTTGGACGGCACTTCGTTAATCACGAAGTGTCCACGCGTGTTCAATTCAGTCTCGTAAAATTTTAGCCACGCCCCGCCGCAGATGCGGGCGCGCCTCGCCCCGCCCTGACCCGCGCGCGCGCATGTCGTGTCGTGTCGTGTCGTGACGTGCCGAGCCGGACGGACGGCGGCGGCGGCAGCGCGCGAGGAGTGCTCTTCTTGTTCCTTTAGCATTCAACTTTGAGAATTAATTTCTCATTCACCCGAGCACCGTTTGTGGCGTGTAATACGTCAAGACGTTCGTCTTACTTACGAGATTAAACGTCCATAATTATTTCGGAAAATAATTTTGTGGACCCTACCGAATATATGTTCGAAAAATTGTCCAATTACTTAAAATTTCCAACAAAACCTACTCCTCATTGTGTTTTAAGATGTTTGATGAAAGTTATTTTCATTTTAATTTATTTGAAAATTGGTGTGAGATTTTAAAAATGAAATTTATATACGGAGTATTTAAAATTATATCTAAGGTCTACGAAACTAGAAGTGACAAAATTACATTCTTTATGAAACAAATAACGAAAAGAAACTAACAAAGCGGATATGTGAATAGCGAACGAAAAAATTAGTTTTAAGGGAGAGGGATATACTTTTATATTCCTCTCCCTCTCTAAAAGAATATCATGGGTTGTCATTCACGGACTTTAAGAGTTTTTATCTTCATCTTCATCCTCCCACATACCTCTATTTTTAACTACTACGGAGTAATATTTTCACTCGCAACACACACGAAGTGAAACGAAATCTGTTTCGATTATGCAATTATTTCTTTGCTACAATATGATTAAAAAAATTGAATAAAATATACAATAATCTAACTCTCTCCTTACCACTAGAAGAATTCAACATACTAATTTTGTCAGTCTCAAAAAAGGTTTTTTTTTCCTACTTTCCGAAAAGGTTTTATTGTGACTCGTATGGTTTTTTATCTCCAGTGCATTAGTTTTAATCATACAATTTTACATTTTTCTTAATCACTTTATCAAGTCAAATGTGAAACACAATATATGATTAGACTTGTTTGTTAGATTTGTTCTATTTTGGGACTCTCTTGATTGGCACACATTGAGCGCACTCAATATGTGCCAAAATCATTGAGAACCTAGAATATATTTTCCTCCCACCAAGTAATAGCATTGTTACAATGCGTGATGGTGTAAATTATCGACTGGCACATCGTTTTAGCCGGGCAAAAATGATAAACTAGTCTAGAAAATACACCAAAGTATAAACACGGAGATTTTGATGTGAAAACTCAAATCGGAAGAAAACAACCGGCCTTTTTTGGCGGTACCTTGCCAACGATGAATTTTTATAAATATCGGAAGGTTGTACACGGTTGGCTCAGAATCCATTAATGGAAGCTTAAAGGCTTCTTGAAGAATGAAAATACAAGAATTCTTAGAGAGAGAGAAATGGAGTGGGCAGGGGAGAGTGTACAATTGGTCTCCTCTTGGTGAAGTAATGCTTCTTTTATAGGAGTAGCAGGAGCATCGACGAGAGGAATATTCTCTTATTCTCTCATTTTATTAAACTGACTCAGTTTGACTATTTTTCGTAAATAATTAGAAAATGTAGATCGAGCCACGTATTATTTTCCATCAATGCCAATAGATGCAACATTTGAAACAATTCTATCTTTCAATTTAAGAGCTACAATGATTTCAAAAAGAATGTTTTTTTCAATTCCATCATAGTAATACACAAAATAAAAATCTCATCTCGTTGTTGTCAAAACTTTCATTATCTTGTTACTATATTTTCCTTCAATCATAATTCATACTCCCTCCGTCCCATAAAACCTTTCTCCTTTCTTTTTTCATTCACTTCTCATTTCTATTAAAAAGTCACTTTTACCCCTTATTTTTTCATACCCTATATATCACATCAATCTTTTACTAATAATCCTATCAAATTCTACTTTTACACATCACATTAAAGGACATTTTTGGAAATTCAATATCAAAATACACTCCCCTTAAATCTATTCAAAAAGCAAAGCATCCCAAGTTTTATGGGACGGAGGGAGTATTAAATAAATTGCCCATGATCCGATGACAACTTCTCTTTCTCATACTCAATAGTCAGCCCTTGACCAAGAAATTAGTTTAAAATATACTAAAATGTCTGTCAATTGGAAATGACATGTCACTAACTTTTTTGAAAAAACTTCTATTTGAATTAAATAATTTCTAGATGTCAAACAAATTCTTTAGCTCTCTGTGAAGATAGCAAACTTTGAAAAAAAACATGCTAGTATTCTTTAACATGTAACTAAATAATTTATTTCCAATTTACTTCCTGAATCTTAATAACATTATGTATTTCATTTGTATCAATATCTAAACAAAACTTACGGAGTAATTGACTAAAAGAAAATACCTAGTTTGCGCAATATTCTTTCAGCCAAATAAAATCTCATGAAGCAAGAGTCCATATAAGTAATGTTATAGTGAATTATCTCATCAGCCAAAAGAATGCTTTTTCAATTCCATCAAAATAATACACAATAAAAATCTCATCTTGTTGTTGTCAAAACTTTCATTATCTTGTTAGTATATTTTCCTCCAATCAGCCTATTAGATAAAAATTGCCCATGATCGGATGACAACTTCTCTTTCTCATAATCAATAGTCAGCCCTCAACCAAGAAAGTACTTTAAAATATATTAAAATGTCTGTCAATTGGAAATGACATGTCACTCAAATTTTTTGAAAAAACTTTCTTGATCTCAATTAAATACAAACTCTTTAGCTCTTTGTGAAGATAGCAAACTTTGAAGAAAAAAACAAACTGCTAGTATTCGTTAACATGTTACTAAATAATTTATTTCCAATTTACTTCCTGAATTTTTACAATATTAAGTATTTCATTTGTATCAATATCTAAACAAAAAAAATTACGGAGTAATTGGCTAAAAGAAAATACCTCGTTTGCGCAATATTCTTTCAGCCAAATAAAATCTCATCCAGCAAGAGTCCATATAAGTAATGTTATAGTGAACAAGCTCCAAGTCTTTATTGCTTCTTATGTAGAAGAGATGAGTTATAATTTGAAAATAACACCAACATTACACATTTTTATAACGCGCCCTTTTTTCAAAATAGAAAGATTTTTACGGACGGAGGAAAAAAAATTACTCCCATGACAAAATCATCTTCTGACTTTTTTTTGGATGTCCCACAATAATCTGCTCATTCCTTGTAAGGATAGAAATATGTGGTTCACATTCTCTCTCTCTCCTCAAAAAACTTTTACCATAATTCCTTAATTCCGTATCATTTTCATGAGAAGTTAATTTTGGGATGGAAGGAGTAATACTTGCAGTTTTATTGCATAACATACCATGTTTGTAGACCCATGGCACTTCAGTGACAACTCTTTCCTTCTCCAAATTCCAATCTTCAACAACTATAAAACCCAATATTATCCCGACTCCATTGGGTTTAGGGGTCAAGATGAATGTAGCTTACCCCTGTACAACAACAACAACAACAACCCAGTTAAATCCCAAAAGAGTAGGGTCTGGGGAGGGTGTGTGTACGCAGACCTTGCCCCTACTCGAAAGTAGAGAGGCTGTTTCCAAAGAGATCTCCGCCTCAACGTCGAAAGTTGCATTGCTTGACTAACTGCTACTTCATTAATTAAAGAAGCGCAGACAGTTTAGAGATCCATTTTGATTTATTCCATCACACCCCAAAGCCAAAAAATGGTGAAATTTTGGCTCCATCGGAGATGATGGAACTTGTAGCTTACCCCTGTAAAAACATAAATGTTGTTTCTGTTAGACCCTTGAAGCATTGCTCCATATACTACCCAAAAGGCTAGAACTTCATTGAAATTTTGAAAGAAACAACAAATTTAATGTGTCGTTTTGATTTAGACCATAACTTACCTGAACTTAAAACGTTATCAATAATAACTCTTGTAACTCCATTGGCAATGGACACTCAAATTTGAACCTTCATTTGTCTAAAATATCTGAAATTCCTTTTTCATGGACGGCACAAAAAGGTTCATCATGAGCAAAAGGTTCGCAGCAAACCTAGAAGAACAACTGCATTCTTATAGATCCATGCTATGGGAACACAATACAATTCGATCACGCCGTTGCACCGTACCTCAATTTTGGCAGAGATGAATCATGGTAGGCAATGCTTGGTGTGAGATTCAAAGCTAACCATTGTAGGCATTGGTAGGGATAGCAGCTGCGCCTTCTTCCAGTACAGGCATGGAGTCATTATCAACTTTTTGCGTCGTTGAAGTAATTTTCAACTTCAATTCAGGTCAATGATGAGGAATCTCTCTGGTTTAAAGATTTTGTTTTATGCTAGTATAAACCGAGTATCTCACGCCCTTAACACACGAGTCTTACACCAACGGACAACTCTAAGCATTTGACTTGCAACAATATCCTTAATACTTCGCCTCCTTAATCTTGCATCTTCAATATCTAGAGTTCTATAAGCAAGTGCAAGCAAATACATTGCTGGGTGGAGTTTCCTGCACACAGATTCATAGACCATGAATAGACACTTGCAAAGGTTTGTGGATAGGATCTCCTTTTTGTTGATTACACATAAAGTAGATGGTACATAACTGAAATGAATCGACCACAGCTTACTTTAAGAGACTGTCAGAACTCAGAAACTCGGAAACTGCCAAAGAAATAAACAGAAAATAGAGAGAAAATTTCAAACTAAAAAAAAGTGATGGATAATTGTTCAAACTCTGTTATGTATCAATTTCTGCTGTATAAAGATTAAGAATTATGGGATTCTAGATCCAGTCCAAATCACAGCAAGGCGTTCTGATCCCTTGTGCCTGCCCAGGCCCGGGGCGCAGTGTAGGTCGGTTTCGAGCACATCAATCTCGGCCAAACATTGAGCATTTGTGCCGAGATTGTTGAAGGACCTGGCTCGACCTGCAGCCTGTCCCACCATCTCAACCTCTCCGAGGATGAGATTCGGATTGTGTTGGGAGGTGCACATTGGATTTGACTTTAGCCACTGATAATGGCTGATCAGCCTTCTCTCTTTCTCTGTCNCTTTCAGCTCAGCCATCTCTCCTTGAGATCGGCTTGGACCAACAAAGAAAACTAGATACAATGCATGTAAAAAAACTACGGAGTAACAGGTTTAACCATATTTGATTTTCTTCGGTATTTTACAAGGTAAAGCCAACCAAATTAAACCATTTAGCATTTTTTCCCTTTCACTTCCGTTTTCCGAGTTCCAAATATAGCCTAAACAGATAGTATTATGTGAGAAAAAAATTGAGGATTTGACATGACAAGTTCGTAGATTCCATCATATAAACAACCAACTATGGAATAGACACTCCATACATATGCAAGTTTATGCAAATGAGATGAAAATTATACACACAACTCTTACTTGTCAAAATGGAAGTTTGCATCTAACCCATCCCAATGTCTCTGGGAGGGGACGGTTCGGCCTTTCTTATCCCGACCAAATGTCTCTACATACCAACCTCCAATATCGTGCATCCCACAGCGAGGCTCAAACAACCAAAATCTGTCGAAGAAAAAGGTTGCAATTTTGACTTCAATAAGTAAACTTCAAAGTGAAAGGCTGTATGTAGTAACACTTGCATAAAGTTTCAACGCATTTCAACTGCGTAAACATTTACATAAATTTATATCAACTCTAGATGTGATACACCTACTTAATCTAGATCTTGTGTTATGAAATTAATTGTAAACCATTCTAACAATGAGTCGTACCCAACCCACTTTTTTTGGCCATTATTGTAATCTCCTTCTTCATGCAATTTACTAACCAGCATTAAATTCAATGGAAAAAAAATGAGAATGCAAACTTTGAAGTCACCACCCTTTTAGCTTTCTGTTCTATCTACATAAGGTGATGCATTCACCAAAAAGAAGCATGGCTAAATGAGCATAATCAACTAATGTTAATGGGCATAGTTCCAGTCACTACTTGGAAAAATACATTAAATACTGTCTGAGCAGTTACGATTTAAAAGGTATATTTTGTTGTTTTACTTGCTGGGAGGCAAGCGAGCTCTACTGCATCTGCATTCGCAAACAGACACTTCGTCTCCTATATGGTACCAATGCATGTGTTTCACCTGAAATAAAGTTATGTTATACTACACAGCTTCTGCAAATTAGAAAAATAGATATCATAATTAAACTAACCAACAATGTCCTATGCTTCATAATCACGTGAGTTTGTACACCATTATGGTCATAGACATCACATGATCCTTCCTCGGGACCCGTCCCCATTCCATTTATTGTTCCTAACAGTATCCTGGGCAGCCTTTGGCTACATGTTGCATGTTCAGGGGGAATAAGATAAACATGTATGACATCCTCAGTATCCTCATTTTGTGACTGATTAGTATTACGGTTTGGTCGAACCCTACTTGCCATAGCAACAAGCCTTCCACATATGTGTAATTCTAAATCCTTATAGGTATCTGATTCAAAACGACCACCATGTCTAGTTTGTTGTTGACATGGTCCATTTGGAGCTACAGTCAAATCCACTTCTCCGCTGGTACTGTTAATAGAACAGAGGGGGCCATTTTCAAAAGATGATATTTTTCCGGTGTTGGCAACAAGTACCATCCCAAAGAGGTCACGTCCTGAGACTAAGTGGAGAATATCTGTTGTATAAGGTACAGACCTCTCTTCAGCTTCAAAACACTCAGGAAGCAAATCAACCGAATCAATCTCAGGGCCATAAAATGCAGCGTGTATAGCTGAGCGGAAATCCCTTTCCAAATCGTCAAAATATCCTGAACCAACCACCTCTCTTTTATTTGACACTATATCCTTGATCGCAAATCTATACCATTTCAACCATTCAACAACTTCCATTTCTCTATCCATAAGCTTGTTAGATTCATACTTGTAGATAACTGAACCTTGCCTTTGCCTCACTTGCTTGTGAACGAACGTTCTTTGAGATACGATATACTGATCATAATGTGCCCTTCTCTCAGGATCAGATAATATCTGCACTCCATTTGATAATCGTGTCAATACTCCACACCTCCAGAATATAACATCTTACCACCACTCATTTTGATTTAAACATTGCCTAATAAGTTAAAGTTGGGATTAATAACATCATATGACCCTGATGCAGGTATATATTGCTCAAAAAATTACTCTAATACTTCTGGAGACAGGCGAATTGAAAACAGCCCAAACAGCTCATTATTCTATGTACAGCTCAAACTGACAATTTATCACAGGTTCCAGTATACCACCATATCAAATAAGGAAAATCGAATAACAAATCATCATTCAGTTCCAATTAATCAAAAGACAAGAGGTACGTCTAATACTAAGTCATCTAACCTCATAGGCAGCTAGAATGTCAACGAATCGTTTGGAAGCCGATGAATCTAACCGTGTCTGAGCTAGATCAGGATGCGTCTCCTTAGCCAATTTACGGAAGGAAGCTTTGATTTCTGAGAACGAACTGGTCTCTGAGACACCTAAGAGCTCGTAAGCGTTAGGTCCTGTGAACTCCGATGGGGCCTTAGTACTTACCTGCCGTTTTCCGTTAAAACTGGGGCGGAAGACACAAGGTAAACATGACAGGTGATCTGCACTAGCTGGAATTGAAGGAACGGGACGGAAATAACGGCTTAGACGGCGGACTGCGGTGTATCCGGCGAACGACGCCATGGCAAGTGATATTGCTAGCTAGAAGGCTAGTCCCAAATCAAACCTGAACGGCCTATAACAGCAACAAATTTGATGGCAAGAAATCTAACAGCAAGCAAATCATTCAATCTATGGAATGTCCAGGCGGGTGTCAGGTGCCCTATTCTTAAAATTCAAGATTCCTACCAGCTTAACCCACCCCCATAACACCCCTCCACCCCGCCCCCAACTCGAACACACCCACCATCCCTTCAATTGCACCTCACAAGTTGATTTTGGCTTTAGAGTCAAATTTTGATTCCAAAATCAAAATCAACTTGTGGAGTGCAATTGAAGCGGGTGGGGGTATACCAAGGGGTTAGAAGGGTAGGAACCGTCAATTTTACAAATGGGACATCGGAGCACCCCTGGGTCATCCACATTACCGGAATACCGGGCAATGTCATGAGATCCTTGGCGATCTATATTTTACTACATTAAAATTTGGTGCAAAGTGCATTTTCTTCTCAAAATTTCATCACTTATAAATTCTAGATTTAAGCGTTTGACTTGGAACAATTCTAAAATGGGTGATCCACTAGAAAGTTTCTTAGGCACACACGAGCGAGGACAAAGCGTGCGGGAAAGATTTGTGCTGGTTTGTACGGCCTGTCCACAACCTTATGAGCGGATGCATACAGCCAGGGTGGGGGCAGAGTGTTACAAAATGGTATCACAGTAACCCTGCAATGGGCCAACGAGCTTGTTCACATAGCGGGGAAGAAGTAGATGATGTTTGAAAAAAAAAGTTTGCAATTGCATTTCTAAATGGGGGTGAATGTAATATCTCAATTTGAAAATAAAAGGATACGAACAAGGTGCATCTTCTTTTCGAAAACTCATCATTTAGAAATTCCAAAATTAAGTGTGTTTGACTTGAAACAATTCTAGAATAGGTGATCCCTGGGAAGTTCCTTAGCAACTCCAACAATTTCTATTCCATTTTCTATTTTGGTAACAAAATTTTAAGAAATGTGGTATTATACCCTCACTTTTTAATAAGATTATTTATTTCATTCCATCATTAAGAGCAAACACGGTTTCTTTTTACATTTTTTTAATTTTTCTGAATCTTTATGTCACTTCAAACTAGGAAAGAAATATTCGAATAGAGAAAGAGTTATGCCGTGCTTCTCATTATTATGAAATACTTATACAATTATACACAGAGTTGTATATCTTTAACAAAGGGGCCGGTTCGCATGACATTAGTTTCCAATGTCATGGGATGACCCAAGGGTGCTCCGATGTCTCGTTCGTAAAATTAACGGTTTCTACCCCATTAACCCCCGTTAACCCCTCCACCCTGCCCCGACCCGAACACACCCCCCACCCCCTTCAATTGCACCCAGAGTTAATTTTGACTTTGGAGTCAAATTTTGACTCCAAGTCAAAATTAACTTGGAGTGCAATTGAAGATGGAGGGGGATGTGTCCGGGTCGGGCAGGGTGGTGAGTTTATCGGGAGTTAGGGGGATAGGAACCGTCAATTTTACGAACAAGACATCAAAGCACCCTGGATGATTCCATGATATTTGTTTCCAATGTCATGGGAACTAAGGGACCTTAACAAAGGAATGTACGTCCACACTCTGTTAATTTTGTAAAAACTACGACCAAGTGATTGCAACTGGACTACCCACAACATGCATTCCATCAGACCACTCAATCTCCCCAAACACATTACTACCCGAAGCCGCCATTGTTGTAGCAGTAAAAGTCACCATGTATGACTGTGTCTCTCCCACCTCAGTGAAAGAAAGAGTTTGTGGTTCTACCAATATTTCAACCCCATTTGGGGAAGACACGTACACTTCGTACGTCCCAGATTCTCCGACGTTAATGAGTGTCCGCGTGTAGTTGATTGAAGATTTCCCGCCCGAGAAAACAACCGCGAACGATGGGTAATTGAGATCCGTTACGCTGTAAGTTCGAGTCGGGTCGCAGGTGAAGTTTCTTCTTGCCACCGTGTTGATTTGAGAGCGAGTGTAGTTCGAGGCGCAGAGGAAATTTAAGTAATCGTCTGTTTTTATGTCGTAAACGAGTCCCGGGTCAATAGCGGGTATCGGGTTGACATGACCCGACCCGTGGTCGTACGGGGTGGATGGCTTTCCCGTCGCGATGTCTATTAGCCGGTCTCCGGACCAGTAGGTCCGGTAAGCGGTGGTCATGAGCGCCGAGCGGATCGCCGCGGGGCTCCACCCCGGGCGCGCCGCTATGAGCAGGGCGGCTATGCCGCTCGCGTGCGGGCACGACATCGACGTCCCTGATATTATGTTGAACTTGACTCGCCGCGTGTCTTGAGGCAAATCGTTCGGAGGGTTGGCCCCACTCCACCCGGCGAGAATGTGGACCCCGGGAGCGATCAAGTCGGGTTTCAGTATCTGCGGCGTGATCAAGTTGGGGCCGCGGGAGCTGAATCCGGCGACCACCGGCGACGGCTTGATGCCCACTTTTGTCCCTTTAAATGAAATCCCGGCCGTCGGGTTCGGACTCGAGAACACGTACGCCTTAACTGCCCGACCGGATTTTTCGGTCACGTGCGTGGCCGGGATCAGATGCGCGTCGGCCACCAGTTCGTCTCCGTGTGCGGCGTCATTCGCCAGCACCATCCCCGCCCCGCCCGCCTCTTTTACCACAATGCCCTTTTCCGCTCTACCATTCGACCCTCGGTCGCAAAGTACAATTTTGCCCTTCACCTTTTCGGGGACCAAGCTACGCTTCAGGCAAAGATTTCCATCACTAGAGTTGCTTGCATTTCCTGCATAAACAATGGGGAGCAGTTTGTCTCGAAACATAGGAGTTTTATCAAATAGAGAAACCCCGGGAAACTTGTTCCCGTTGCCGAGTCTTAAAGGAGCCGGGAAATCACGGTCCAGAGTCCCAGCGCCCACAGTCGTGATCCACGGCGCCAGGTTGGTGGCAGTAAAAGGAGTAGGACCGCTGTTCCCGGCGGAGCAGGACACGAAAATCCCCTTCTCCGCGGCGGCGAATGCTCCGATTGCGATGACATCGTTGTAGTAATCATCGGGTCCTCCCCCGAGAGATAACGAGAGAATATTGACACCGTCGTCGATGGCCTTTTCCATCGCCGCCAGTATATCGGAGCCAACACAACCGATTTTCCAGCAGGCTTTATACATCGCTATCCTCGCATTCTTCGCCATTCCCCGAGCAGTTCCCGGCGCGTAGCCAAAAAGGCTGGCACTCGGAACTTGCCCTCCTCCGGCCGTGGAGGCCGTGTGGGTCCCGTGCCCATCGTCGTCCCGGGGAGATTTAAACGTCGTAGACTCGTTGATTGGGCCCACTAACGCCTCAATCCCTCTCGAGAAGTACCTCGCACCGATGAGCTTCCGGTTGCAATTAGACTCGTTGAATTGTGTGCCGGTCTCACAGGCGCCTTTCCACGAGCTTGGAATCGGGCCAAGCTCGCCGTCGTCGAAGCTCTGTATCTCCGGCCAGACGCCGCTGTCGATGACTCCGATGACCACATTGCTTTCATCGGCTGACCCGGGCCATATGGATGAGTAGTAACCGGTTAGTCCCAAAAACAAGGGCGTTCGGGTTGTGTGGAGCTGGTAGATCGTCTCCCGCCGGACGGAGAGAACTCCGGGAAGATTTTCAAGAAACAGGGCTTCCTCAGCCGTGAGCTGGGCGGAGAATCCGTGCGTCGCGGTGTCGTAAGCGTAGATGATTTCCCCTGATTCGGACACCGATTTGAGTGCTGAGTTGTACCAGTGCGTGTGGTGACGGAAACCGGAAGGCATTTCCGACTTCGCCATTTGAACGATAAATGTTTTCTTTTCTGCCGCCGCCGCCGACGAAAAGTGGCACAGATGGGATAGCATAATCACGGCTAGTATAATCATCACTGTAATTCCCAGCATTTTCTTCTATTTAACTTTTTGTTTCTTTTTGCTCTGCTTGCATTTGCGATGGTACTTGAAAGTTGAGTCATTTTAAAAGGCGTGTGGGGTCAATATTCGTCCACTTTTAATTTGTTTTGTCAAAATTTATAAACTTTGACCTTAAATTAAATAAAAATGATGTTAGATATTGATACAAAATTAGTTTTATTTTATTTATTATATCAAATATTTTTAAAATATCATTTTATCTAATTAATATACAATACATATTTTATTTAATTGTAGGTCAAAGGTTAATAGTTAATTGGAAAAAGTCAAAACTAAACAAATACTCATGGATGGAGGTAGTAGTACTTTTGTTAAAATGGAGTAAAATTTAATGTTAATTTTTATTGACGGTAAAAATTAAAATTAAAATTGAGCAAATACTCTAATATTGAAAGAGTAATTCAGAAAAATTGCAATGACAGAACATCTGATTAAGAATTTGAGACTTTATATATATACTGTATATAATTTGAGACTTTTAATTTTAAAAATTTAACATGTGTAATTCTAATAACTTAAAATGAAATTACCCATAAATGCGTGGGATTTTCTAAATATTTATTCACTATTTTGAGTATGTTAAGTATTAACACTTGATGTTTTTACATTGGACATATTTGACCCAAGGGCGGCTAATTTTTTTGGAGGCCTCAGAGCACTGGTAATGGTCATGAAGCCCCGGGGCTTCAAACTTTCTCTCTCTACCACGTCAGCTTTAACTTACACCCAAAATTCACTGGAAATGGTTTTGAAGCCCCGGGCTTCAAACTGGGGCTTCAAACCTTCATTTTTTATATTTTTAAATATACATCTTCTAAATTTAAATTTATAAATTTAAATTAATTTATTATTTTAATGAATCGCAATGACACTATTGCATAAAAAAAATTAAATTCAATATAAAAAAAATCTTACATTCATAAAAAAAAATGAAAAAAAATTACATTCATTAAAAAAATTACATAAAAAAAACATCAGTACAAAAAAATCACTAATTATTCGCTGACTAAAGATATGCTCGATCAAATCCGCCGTTAGTGCATTGTGAATCTCTCGGCTTCGAATTTCTTGGCGGTTGCGTCGTTTCTTTTCTTCGGTGATTTCTTCGTACATAGGCACCTCCTCGTCCGGGTTGTATTGACAAATCGCAGACCCGTTATTCTCTATGATCATATTATGAAGAATAATACATGCGTACATGATATTCCTCATTTTTGTCTGAGAATAACATTTCGACGGACGATCTAGAATGTGCCACTTAGCTTTCAAGACCCCAAAGGCTCGTTCAATATCTTTTCTCGCCGCCTCTTGAGCTGTTTTGTAGGTTTGGCGTTTAAGACCCATTGGTTCGGAGAGAGATTTGACAATCGTGGAATAATCCGAATATATTCCATCAGCCAAATAATATCCACGCTTGTAAAGCGTCCCTCTAAGCTCAAAAGAGGAGTCCGGTGCGGTCTCATTAACCCAATCGTCAAAAACAGGCGATTGATCGAGAACGTTGAAGTCGTTGTTCGAGCCCGCGACACCGAAAAAAGCATGCCAAATCCACAAGTCATTTGAAGCAACAGCTTCGAGCATGATGGTAGGCCTGGGATGATCTCCCCGGGAGAATTGACCGTGCCACGCAGTGGGACAATTTTTCCATTCCCAATGTGTGCAATCAATACTCCCAAGCATGCCGACAAAGCCGTGTTTAGCGGCATGCCTCGCTTGCAACTGCTGGATGTCGCTCGGTGTAGGCTTGCGTAA